AAAAAAAAAAAAAAAAAAAAAAAAAAAATTCCCAAGATGCTCACGTAATTGTTATTGTGTCTGTTGACTGACAAACTACTAGCATTTTAATTATATTTAAAAGAAAACCTCAATAGTGCATATATTTTAGGAGTATCTATTTATGTATCTATTCATGAATGAGAAAAATTGTTCTTCAGTCTAAAAACTGTATGCTATGATTTGGGTTTTAGAATCCCTTGCAATAATTACAAACTCCCTCCTGCCCTGCTTCCTACCCTCACTCCCCATCACTGGGCAGGAACAGCATAAATGGTAAAAATCCTTTTAAACTCATCAAACCTTTGTCAAAGGGGAGGATCTATCAGGAAGATAACTGATGCCTTAAAAATAGAACGGTGACTGAGGGTAGTGTGATGCACAGAGCACCCCACTTTGGAATCCTGAAGCTGGACTTTCAAGGCAAAACCAGTCATGAGCCATGTGGCCTTGGGCTGGGCCACTTCTCTGAGCCAGAGTTATTCTGAAATCAAGAGACCCAGATCACCTTTAAGGTGCCTTGTGGTTTGAATCAGAAAGTGGGATGTCAAGGGGGTCTGAAGAAGGCCTCCCACCACAGTTCCAGCCCTACTAGCTCCCACATCTGACTTCTTTTCACACAGTATAAAAGGAACCTGAAGGGTTTGCAAAGAGAAGCAGGGAGGTGGAATTTTAAAAGTCCCCCCCCCAAAAAAAATCTGTTTTCTAGATTCTTCTCCCAACTATTGATTCTAAATCTCAGAGGAATTTGGGTGGCAACTTCTTGGATTTGGAGTATTTTCTTGGACATGAGAACTCCCCGTGCATTCTGGTTTCCCTGGTGGTGGTGTCACTGTTGGAGCTCCTTTTTATATGTAGCTGAAAATAGCTGGGGTCACCTGACAGACACACCCTATGGTGGTATAATCACTTGCATGTACTTAAGTAATAGGTCATGGTTAAAGAGGAAAACCTTTGTTAAATCAATCCAGGCACTAACTTTAGTTTCTCTTTTAAGATTAGCAAATTTAGAGTCAAACATTAACACTCACCTACAATTTCTTCTCATATTTTTTTCAGATATGTTATTCTTCAAAACAACAGAGAATTGGGAGAGTTGATAAGAGTTATAGGTGGGGATTTAGTATTCCTTTACTTATAAGTTATTAACCACAATCTCTGGGTCCCCCCACCCGCCATAGGCACACTGTATGCTCCTTGTGATTAGAAACTGCACAATGCAAGGAGCCTGGGCTTGGGTTTGAATTGTGCAATAGAATAGCACAGAACAACATAGAATGTGCAAATAACCCCTTGATATCTCTTGTATTTTAGAAAAAGGCTTCTATTCTTTTGTCATGCTCTCTCACTATGATCTCTACTAGAGCTTATCAGATTTGCTCATTTCCAACTTCAGGTCTTTACTCAGCTATTTTCAAAACCACAGTGTACCTCTCCCCATAACTGTCATTGTCTCTGGCTTTGAAATCAGCCTGTCATTTTGCCACTTACTCTTTGTGTGACTCTGGATAAGTACATGATTTTTGTTTTCTTATAAAATGTTGTAAAATATAACTATTCAGACCATCGTGAAAATCAAACGAGATGAGAATATGTGCATAGTGTCTGGCACTTAGTGCCCAGTAAATGTCAGTTAACTTTCCCCTCAAGGTGGGGGGTTAGAGATTAGCTTTTCTACAAAGCTATGGGAAAATCTTGCTCAGTTAAGAGTATTAGACTAAAACGAAACCCTTTGAGGGAAGGTGGCAGGGCAGTGAGGGAGCTGGAGGGAAAGGGGCAGTTTTTCCCTTGATGAGGCTGTTTTTAGTTTGTAAACTCTTAGGGATGGTAAACCATTTATTTTCACCCTGTATAAAACAGGTTTCACGAATGCTATTTAACTGTCCGAAGCCACTTGTCTGTATTTATATAAAAATTCAGGTCCTGATTTACATAATATCACCTCAAGAGATAGAAGGAAAGTAGCTGCCTAGTTATTTTGTATTTGGGTACGGCCAGATTTGGGGAGGGTGGGTTTTCTAGCCGGGAATCTTGAAGGGCTCTCCCCTGAGATGAGACTGAAAATTTGTTAATTTGGAAAACAGAGACCACATCCCAGCTGCTTTGTTTTTGGTTTTAGGGAGCCAGAGTTGCATTCATTCACAGGGGATCCATTGTGCTACTTGGAACCTGTATTGATATGAACAAAATTCCACAAGATCAATACTACCTACAGATGGCCCTTGTGTGCCAGGATCTTTAGAAACATAACTGTATTATCTCTAGTGCTCAGAACACTCCTATTCGGGAGGTATGATTATCTTTCTCATTTTATTGCTGAGAGAGCAGCCTCAGAGAATCAG